TGATCGATCACTGCTTGTCTTGGATCTTGCTTTCTGTGGTTGTCAGCAGTGTCTTCAGTTTGTTTGTGCTTTCACACTCTTGTCTGTCCCCACTGGAAATCACAGATCTGAACACACTCCCCCCTGTCCCAATGTCCTGTATGAAGGAATTCCAAATTGCCATCTGCTGTATAGGTATAAATATTTTCTGAAATCACCCTTTTCTTGCACCACAAAAAAAATTCCACACACTATTAAAGCGTATACTGTTGCCACGTAACTAGTATCAAGCAGTCAGCCTTAAAACCTTTACATGTGCAAAGAGAAATGAGACACCAGATTTGCATGGAGTTGGCATCCCAGACCAACACCCTTAATATTAATAAAATTAACCTAAGACAACATAACGCCCGGCTGGCATACTTGACTTCTTGACTTCAAGAACTCAAATCTAATGCACTGCCCATACCTTACAAAGCCACCGCATACCATGAAGGAATTTACTGCACTCAAATTCTAACACAAACCAGATACATTAACAACCAGTCATCACAGTTCCGAGGAGAAATATCTGAGAAGCAACGACTTCTACCAAAATTTACATCACTAATTTAATTTCTTTCACAAACAACACGAAAATACATGTAGACTCAAGCCAACAATTAATTATCAACACAGAGACAAGTGCAGCATTCCCGACGTTTACATTGCTATCTGTTAACTCCCAATTTATGGCATGAACCTCAACTACGAGCTTAAAATTGTCAGTCAATGTATGTGCCATGTTCTGAATCTGTTCAATACTTAATAATTTAACAGTTTTGGTGAGTCTGTATAAAAATTTCAGCCCTGATGTCAAGCTATGTACATAAACTTCCCAGACAAACTACCTCAACAGTGAACAGTGGATTGAGTCATAATCATAACAATGGGTTTTAAAAATATCAATGTGCTTGCAAGTAATTTATTGGAAAGAAAAGTGAGTCACAGATAAGTTTTCGAAGGATGTTTTGACAATTCAAGTCTTAGTAATTGCTGCTGTTTCAGGTGACTCAATTTGTCATCAGCAAAAGTTCCAGATGTTGGGGACAAGTCAGTTTAAGATCACTGCAAAGGGGTTGTTGTAGAAATGGCTGGGACTTTAAGAGAAAGACCTTTTCAAATAGGACAGTAAGGCAGAAACAGATGGACGCAAAATGGCTTGGGGATTACCCATTGAGAACTTTCTGAGCTGAAAGTAAAAGACTGACATTAGTATGCGATTCCACAAGAGCCAAAGAAGGTCAGTGAAGGTTGACGTTAAGCCTTTTATAACTTGGTCCGATAATGGATGTGCGGTTATATTTCTAAAACCTCTCCAAATTACCCTTCTCATGTTTTGGCAGGCGGTAAAGGAGGACCCTGTCTATAGATAGAAATTAGCTGTGTCACCTTTATCAGAATGCAGCCATTTCCATCTTGCATATAATGTTTTTGAGAAAAAAAATTAATAGCCTGTGTTCTCAAGTCGGATAAATTCAAACTTCAATACAACAATCCATTATTAACTAAGTTTACACAATGAAAAACAATGGCAATGGTAATATTAATACTACACCCGAGGTCCCACTTATTAAAAATATTTAAATATTGTTTCAATATGAGTAAGAGCCCCTGGCAATACAACAGTTATCAAATTACCACAGAATATAGAGGCGTATTAATCAAAGTTATCTTTTTCAAACAGTGTTACAAGAGTTGTTTTGACTAAGAGACAATAATAGAAGACGTACCGGTAAACAATGAAATCAACTTAAGCTTACGATTGTCAGAACTCCGTAAGCTAGTATCGTACCCCATTCCATACGCGAGGAAACAACGAGAGAAAACTCAATTATTATTAAATGGTAAATTATTTCCCGCAGTTAAGTACCCGAAGTGATTAGTGCCAATCCACCAATCTGAGCTTTTGACCATGATTTTTACCTGAAATCTTTACGGTTCGCTTTTGTATCTCTATGTGTTAATGTGCTATATTCCTTATCGCAAAACTTACATTTATAAGCTTAATAAGTCTTATTACCTTTCTCGAAAGTAGCAGCCCTCTGCAATGCTTGTTCTTTCCCTTCCAAAGCCATAGCCCTTTCGTTCTTTAACTTCAGACAGGTGACTTGTAGAGCCTTGATTTCCCCGCGAAGACGTTGATTTTCACTGTGTAATTTCTCTTTGCGCACCTCAAGTTCGGCAATTTCTGTTAATCTGTTCTGACGATATTCTTCGAACTCTCTACGAACTTGATCTGCTTCGGTCTCTTGATCCGCAATGGAGAACACAGACCGAAGACTTATGCTATTGATAATTGGTTTACTCCTTGTACTTCTTCTACTTTTTTTCTTTCCAAACGAGGTGCTTGTAGCTCGTAACGAAGTACTTTTCCGACCAGGCGGGTATTCGATGGGAATTCTCTTCGTAACTCCCGACTCAACATCTTCTCCAAATTCGTCGTCGACTTCGACAACTTTCGCTGGATTAACAGAGCCCGCGGACCCCATATCTTACCTCAACAGACTTCTGACTACTTTGCGTAAGTTATTTTCTTCTGGCTCAAGAAAATTCCATTCACCGTTAGGTTAAAGAGTTGCCCGCCGCCATGTTTTGGATGTCCGCCATCGTTTCTGTGTGGTCTGAGCATAGAATTTCAAAACAAGCCAGACTGTAAACGCTACGAATTCCTGTAGTCAACATCCGTTCAATAACATTTGCTCTGAGGGTATTATAGGTGATTTCCCGAGCCTTGCATTCCCTGACTACAACACGCATTCATTCCTTCGCCAAATACTTGACACTTTCTCGCGACCCGGTTTGTTTTGCCCCGTACTCAGCACGCTGGAACAAGTATTCAGCCAATCACAACACTGTAATATATCACAGTCGGCAAGGTTTACAAATGCCGACTTCCGGTTTTTGATTCTCCTTGTCATTCTTCCCATTGTTTTCGTTGGCAGTGACTGAACCTAAATATACCGTAATTTCCGGAATTTCAAAGCGGGGGATACTACATGAAATGCTCGACTCTTTGCCCAGGTTTGGTCACAGGAATCCTTAGATCACAGGATATGCATTTCTAAGTTATATGGATATCTGTATCAGTCAAACGTATTAGCAGTAACTTAGGAGAGAAGATAAAGGGGGCAAGGTGTAAGGGGGTGGGAAGTCTATGCAGGAGGTGAGAAGAACGGACAGGAAAGGGAATTCATAAGGTGGAGGGAAGGAAGGGGGCAGAAAGCAGAAAAAAGGTACAAGTGGCATGTGGTTGAAAAAATCCTGACAAATATCTTTCTTTCAAGTTCACCACCACAAAACAAAACCAGCTAGGGTTGCTGGAATTTAATATTATTTTGGGGTGTATAAATTATTTTCATTTGGTAGTACATTAACCATCTTTTTCCTGCCAATTGTCTTGACAGAAATCAAGTAATGAGCTGTCAGTCGTTTTTTTGCAGGCATTAGTACTGGTCATGCCCTCACTTCCCAAGTAGAGAGTGTGAATACAGTGAAATCCCAGCTTCTGAAACTCTCGATTTTTCAAACCTTCCAATAACTTGAACCAAAAGTCAATTCCTTCCCCTCAATGGTACACAGTAATTTTACCCCCGATTTCTCAAATTACCCAATTTTTCAAACCAATTTCCATTTCCCTTGGAGGTTTGAAAAGTCGAGATTCCACTGGATGTTTACCCTATTATTACTCTACTTAACTTCTCCTTTTAAAAGGATTGTTGTTGTTGTTCTCAGCTAAAGAAGAGAACCCAATAAAAAAAAAAAAAACTTAAAATACATCTAGAACACCTTTATTTGACTTAGTTCATGTCAGCAAGCTTGGTCAATTTTATTTCAAAAATTTTACACTGTTACATCCATTACAGTGTTCTTAAGAAGGTTTTCAACAATAACGTCTGTTATTAATAATTATATTACAATAGTTTGAAAACCTTTGTAAAGAAATATTTACAAACACCTTTAACTCATCTTGTTTATTGCATGTCAATGTTAACCCTCTTCATTTTTTTATTCAAGTAGAAAAGATGTGAATGTTACAACAAGGTATAACTGTAACAAGGTAGTGAAGAGGGTTAAAAACATGCAAAATAAGTCACTTTTATATTCATCTGTTTCTTTGCAGTTGGTGCCAACTCCGATATTTGATGTGGTACTGCCTATTATGCTGTGAGTCTAACTTTTTAAGTCAGTGATTTAAACTATGCAATGGGCACATTTAAATGAAACCTATTTGAGCTGTACTTTCATGTCAGAATTAATAGAGGGGAATGGTTATGAAACTCTGCAAAGTTCTTTGTTGTATATGCTTTTGTTCAGTTTTTTGGTCTTGGCCACGCACAAAACACAATAGTTGCTTACTACTGACCAAGGAACCAACCAATAGAAATGTTTAGGTTAAGTAACTCATGCATAGTGTATGAGCACAACACAAAAGATTGTGCATGGTTGTGGACCTTCCAACATAAATCATGGCATCATTGTTTTCTCCTTTGATGTTTGCCAGACTTCATAACCATTCCCCTCTACGTGTAACTGCATGCTTTTGTTTCTTTAGTTTTTTAACACTTTATCTGAACTTTTACACTCTTGGAAGTTAAAGAAATCTTTGATCTATGATAATTTAGTTCAAAACTGATTGAAGGAACTGGCCTTAAAATCAGGCAAACTTCAACCATTTTGTTTTAAATATCTCTGGCCAGTGCCACTTATCAACCATTTTGAGATCTTTATTTTAATGTGGTCCAATAATTATTGCCTGGCCACTCAAAACCCAAGTTTGTCTGAGGCACAAAAATTGCAACAAATTGCCAGTCCTGATGCTGCTGACTGACAAAGAATTGTGGAAAACTGAAATTCTCCATAAAACCCAATAGGAAACAGAAATGTTAGTGGTAATCCACGGAAAGTACCACTGACAGTATATTAAGTGAGCCTACATTTTGTTTTTTTCAGCTGTATAATATTATTATCTATTTTAGAAGATGGGCACTTTGTAGTGAAAAAATAATTTACCATATAAGATCTCCTTCTTTTGATGGTACAAGCATAAAATAGTGCAAGGATCAAACCCACATCTTTAACCTATCTGACAGGTTGAAACTACTCGTACGTACATGTATGTTGCGGTCACCTTCTTTTTAGGGCAACCATAGTTACATGTAACTTAGTTACAAAACAAGTTTGTTATTTCATGTAGCCATAAATCTTTGGTAGAAGGCAGAAGAATTTCAAGATAATCCATAATGCAAACTGATCGATTAATTTTTGCATAATGGCTTTCCACAGAATTTCTGTTTCCTTCCAAACAAGACAGCAGATCATGACAGCAGAATGACATCACATGTCAGCTCATATGCGGCACTGGAATAGGAAGTGTGCAAGGAGGCTTTTCCGGAATATACAGCTTCTCCATAACATAACTTAAACCTTTTATTGACTATTGATAAAAAAAAGAAAACATTTTTGTTAGAATCAAGCTCCTTCTTCCAAAGAAGTAACATTTCAGGCTACATTTATGTTGACATTTTATTTGATATCTACGAGAGGCATATGAAATGTTCATGGCTGCTTAAATAAGCAAAACAATAAGCATTACATTTGACCAGAAGTCAGCCATTCCACAGCAATAGCATTAGACATGAATTCAATAGTTATTGCAACAAAGGTTTTTCAAAAATGCAGAAACTCTAAAACAGGGTATGAAGAAAGACGGCAGACTACTGGAAAAGAATTCTGCGAGGGTCAGAAGCACAAACTGAAGAACTTCCTCCCAGCATTGGCAAGTTAGCAATAATGAAAACTTTAACTACAAAAATAAAATAATACCATTTAAAACAACAGTTACTGTAATAATCCTACCTTAGACACATTTGATTTGTATCTTTCTATACCAAATCTCTCTATTGCTCTTGCAAAACCAAACACACCAGATGAAACCCAGGATTGTCTGTGGCATGTTGTCCTTAAGTTAAAAAAAAAAAAAAATGTTACTAAAGATCTGAAGAAATGTCTTAAATTATCAATATGTTTTTTTATACACACTTTTAAACTCTAATGGGGTGGTGCCCTGACAGTGAAGAACAGGCTTAATTTTAGCTTGGAAAAAGGTATTTGCAAGCACTACAAACTCATTTAGTAAAACAAGATAGAAAAATAGAAATGATATCTTTAGCTTTCAACATTCAGATTCTAAATGTATTTTTGAAGTTGTACCAAATAAAACAAGGGTCAGCAAGTGTCCAAGATCATTAATCTGGTATATACAAAGTCATCGCCATGGCCAACATTGATAGCCTGTTTAGCTGGCAGTTTCTGCTTTGCTGCTTGTCCTGCGCAACAAAAAGCCCACTGAAACACTCAACCAAAACCACCAGCTATGCACACTATGGCCTCCAGCTCTATAATTGCCTGGACTCCAGTTAGTTCTTGATGCTTGCTTCAAGGTATTGTGTGTTTCCAAACTGACTCAGACGTTAATAATTATTCTGTGCATAGCAACGACACAGGTCTAAGAATAATTAGCACAACCATCCCTAAAATTTAAAGCCACTATTCAACAAAGGTTTTATAACTTATCCTTACCATTCCTTGTTAGTTGGATGAACTGAATAAACACATTTTTCCTCCACTACCATGAGTCGTGTAAAGGTGATATTTCTTGTGTATGTGGTAAGTGTCTTGGCTTCAGGATCCACTATAGATTCTTCCATAATACATGCTACTTTGGAACTGACAAACTGTGAAGAAAAAGGCAACAAAACAACTTTTACAAGTGAATATATGAAATCTTGATCATTCTGGCTTATACCGTATCTTCACCATATGTGGATACATGTACATGTATTACAAACTCACAAAGTGACCAGCTCCCAGTTGGCTTGAAAGCTCAGTTGGTAGACCACTACACTGGTATCACAGAGGTCACAGGTTTGAATCCCGTTGACGAATGATTTTTTTTTCAGGCTTTAATTTCACAACTGCTTAAGTTGTGTATATAACCGTGATGATCAATCATGCATTTGAAACAACTTTTGATGAATGTCATGTAATTCTGCCCACTGTTCTGTTGTTGAACACATATACTGTTCTCTATCAAGAATGGCAAAATGCCAGAAAAAGAGCTCTTACCCTTTCAGCCCATCTTGGTAGACTGTTTGTTTTTGTTGTAAGCTTTTTGGTAAAAAGTTTGTTTCCAACTAATGACCTGAAAAGAAATGATACCATTGATATAAAAAAAAATTGACATACCAGTAATGAGTTTAAATTATTTCCTGTTACACTATACATCAACAGTGCACACTTCATGTGAGTAAAATATTAATGATAAAAATAATAACAAAACAAATGTGTAGTATTTAGATTTAAATGATGTGTTATGTAGCATGTAACAGAACATTTTATTTGTATTCTTGGCATTGGACTGGAAGTACCTTGCAACTGAAGCTAATGCCATAAGTCTTTTCAAATACAAATTCATGACCGCATTAATCTGTATAAATTCTAAGCCTCCAATTTGCAAGCAACGATTGCTCCAGTCCAATACCAAGAATACAAAATTGATCTACTGTGGAAGGACAGAATTATACTTAATAATTATACTTTTATTTTTTAATCATTTTAGACACCAGTGCTCAAGTAATTTTGCTGTGGTGAGAAACCATTGTCAAATATACTTAAAGTACCTGTTAACGTTTAGTGACGTCCTTCACAAACTTGTAAGTGAATATCACACAAAATATTAAATTACGGCCTAAACTTGTGTGTGTATGTAGAAAATATAAGCTTACAAGTTTATTGTAATCTTACCTGCACATACAAATATTTTGGGCTGTTATCATTAGTCACAGAAGCATTAAAAAGAAATGCATTGTGAAATGGTAAAAGCAGGGAAAATCACAATTTTCACAGTATTATGCTCGTGTTTTGAAGCTAATTAAAATTTGTAACGTCATCAATGCATGTACACTTCACTGCCTGCAGTGCAATCTTGCAAATGCCGTGTTGTTTGTCACGATTTAGCTGACATTACTCAAAACGGCTCCAAGACGCAGCCAAAATACAAAATCAACATTCCAAACGGATCTGCAACCTTACTGGCGGAAAAATAACAGCAATGAAGCGAAAAATACGAGAAATATCTACCTGCTTATGATATCCTCCGAAAGCACGTGCCTGCTAAATGGGTTTGGATAACGTCTCCAAAGAGCGCTACTTACTTGATCCCAGTTGAATCTAAAGACACCACAATATATTTATAAGTTGCCTCATTCTACTGTCAAAGTCTTAATCGAATCTAGCAGCGAAAATCACTTACTTGAGCATACAATTTGTACAGTAGAACTTCATATTGGATGCAAAAATCATAAATAGTACGAAAAAAATGAAATTGCCAAGTCACAGTTACAATAGTGTCCAGTTTCGACGCGGTCAAAATTTAACGAAATAGAACCTGGTACGAGTAGGCGTTCCTGACGGCGTTGACAGGGAGCGACTCACTACTTATGTATTTACATGTTTTAATCTTCTTTCGAGCCTTTCTAATTGTTATGTCCTTCAGTAAAGTTTCAATTTAAGCCTTTTCGCAGTTACAAATTACACAATTATTTCAAATTACAAACTCCTTTACGCGATTTCGAACCATAAGAATTGGACATTGGTACGCAATGCGTACATAGTCTAATGGCTAATTTATTTGTTTGGACGGAAGATTTCTAGCCTGCGAAAGGATACGTTTTTTCGGTTCTTGTTTCATGCGCTGAGAAAAAGAAAAATCGCGTGAAACACACGTGAAACAAGAGCCGAAAATACCAGATGCTCTCGCAGACTAGAAGATTTCCTTCAGGAGCGTAAATGAGTACGCGATACTGTGCAGAAAAACATTACCTCAGTTGGAAGTGGCTGTTCTTTAACGGGTTTGATAGACATTCGATGCCCTTTAATTTTGTATTGAGCGCTTGGACGGTAGAACCTACAAGCCGTGAACTTCGATCAAGTAACGCTAAACTTCTGCTTCTCTACCGTTTGTCTTTGTCGCAAACACAGTTTACACTTGTGTAAGACCTTTCTCAAAAGAGCTAGACCCTTAAATTTGAACCAAACAGGGAGTCGACAAAGAAAGAGAAACGGACTAGTAGATTTGTATAACCATCCCGCAAGTTTTCATGAGAAGATCGTGTGATCGGCGAACCCCGGGGCCGCGCGCGCGCGAGCGCATACCTACGATTTATTGGCCTTAATATACCAACCCTTTTGCCGTGGTACCCAATCTTACATTCAATTTGATTTCACATTTCTTCTGACGTTTGGTACGAGCATCCTACAGAAAGAGATCCGGCAACTTAACTGGTAAGTCTTGTTTCTTGCGTCGTCTGTTCTCGTGTGGACCTCTGCATTAAAAAGATTGCTTCTACGGTAAGGGTCTGAGGGCATGATGGTAAGGATCAGGGTTACCCAAGAACCCCTGTTACCTCTCTGCACGCTTGGACGTAGAGAGGCTCCTCCAGAGAGGCTCAACGAAGGTAAAGCGGTTTTTACAAAATACACAAC